AAACCCATCAATTAATTTTCACCCACTTATCAATCCATCATTAAATTCTCAACTCCATTAATGTGTATGGTGTGATTTTAGTGGATATTCATCACTTTCTTAACAATTGAAGGTATAATTTTGCAATTTACTCATCTACCAAGTTTATTGCATTAATTCATCCTCTTATTCATGAATTATTTGACATTGCTATTCATGTAAATTAGTTAAATTTGTTATATTTGACAGTATAACAAATAAAAATTATTTGAAATTGTTATTCATGAATTCATAAAAATTAGTTAAATTTGTTATATTTGATAAAAATGTTAGTTACATTTGTTACTATTCAACCACTCATTAATTTCACATAATTTCACGTTAATTATTTGACATGATTAGTTCACATTAATTTCTCATTATTAATCATGAATTCATAAAAATTAGTTCAATTTGTTATATTTGATGAAATTTTAGTTAAATTTGATTTTATCCGATCACTCATTAATTCACATAATCTTAGATTAATTTCACATAATTGACATAAATTTTTTTTATATTTTTAGTGAAATTTGTTAGTTAAATTTGTTAGTTACATTTGTTAGTTACATTTGTTACTATTCAACCACACATTAAGGAAAAATTAGTTTCACATAATCTTTGATTAATTTCACATAATTTGATTTTAGTTGTAATTTTCCTTAAATTTGTTTTATTTTTAATGACAAACATAGATAGATGGATGAAGAATTGTATTGTGCATTGACCCACTACACTTACAGTCTAAGCCGTTACACTTATAATATAACCCGCGTACTCATAGTTGTTTGGGAGGAGGCATAGGAAAGGAAGGATATAGCCGGGCATCTCGCAAGTGGAATGCTAATCATCTCAAATCCATCTTAAAGGAACAACCCACTTATCGCCCAATTGATTTCCAGAAGAAGGTTAAAACGAAATTTGGATTGGACATCCCTTATCATAGGATTTGGTGGGGAAAAGAGCTAGCTCAACGTGAATTGTATGGTGATACTAAATATTCATATGACCAACTCCGATGGTATAAAGATAAAGTTATGGAAACTAATCTGGGATCAATTGTTCACTTAGAGCATGAAGATGGAAGATTTACAAGAGTTTTCGTATCTTATTATGCTTGTTGGAAGGGGTTTATGGAGGGATGCAGGCCAATGTTGTTCTTGGATGGTACTCATCTTTTTGATAGGTATGGTAGAGTTCAATCTAATCAAAACTTGCATTAATGTACCATTCTTCATAAATTTATTATACTTTCATTCATAATTGCTACCATCCCGGTTATAGGTATAAAGGAACCTTACTCGCCGCAACTGCGCTAAATGGAGATGGGGGAATGTTTCCCGTAGCAATTTGCATATGCGGGACGGAGAATGAAAGTAATTGGGAATGGTTTTTGGAATGCATTCGAGACATTCTCTTCAACGATGAAGATCCGTACACTCCAGATGATGAGCTGGTTTTAATCTCCGATAGGGACAAAGGGCTTCAGAATTCCGTTAAGAAATACTTTCCATGGTCGCATCACTCTTATTGTATTCGTCATCTTTTGGCTAATTTTAAGAATAACTTGTCAAAGAAAGGCATTGTACCACCTTTACGAGATGAATGTGTGCAAATTATGAAGAGGGCTGCTTATGCATACACTACTCGTTCCTATAACAATGATTGCAACGAGCTACGGAACAAATCTGAGATCGCCTATAATGAATTGTTGCGGATGAGTCCAGAAAATTGGGCTAATAGCTATTTTCCTGGGAAGAGGTTAATATGAAAGTTTACTTACAATTTTAAATGCAAATCATTTAGTTATATGTACATCTCTACTTACCATTTATTGACATGCATGTAGATATGGATGGTTGACATCAAACCTAGCGGAGTCATTCAATGCTTGGATCAAAGAAGCTCGTTATTTGCCAATTACCCAAACACTTGATAATATTCGTAAGAAAATGATGAGGATGAGTTTTGAAAGGCGGGAGGCATCCCACAAGTGGACCACAACATTTGTTCCTACTGTGGAAGAGCACCTCATTCAAATCAATGAGCAATCACGTTGTCTTTTTGCTATTCCTTCTACTACGGGAAGGTATGAGGTCTATGATTTCCCTACCGTTGAAGTAGATTTGAATGAGCGTACATGCACTTGTCGTGAATGGCAAGTTGTTGGGCTACCTTGCAAACATGCGGCTACGGCAATTCGACAAAATAACGACATACTTTACTCATATATTTCTCACTACTTTAGTGTGGAAACATACCGCAAATGCTACTCCTTTCCTATATACCCAATTCCTGACGATGACAAGCCACATGTAGATGATGAAAATATGGTGATTCGGCCGCCGACAACATCAATTCTTCGTGGAAGACCAAGAACAAAGCGCATTCCTTCAGGATTGAATCCCCATAAAGAGTTAAAATGTAGTAGATTTCAACAGTATGGTCACAACCGTAGAACATGTAGACAACCTATTGCAGACTAGTTGCAGACTAGATATATTGTAAAAATGCATGACTTTTGTGTGTTATAGTTTTGTGTAAGTGGCATACTTTTGAATCAATGTAAGACATGTTTTTAGCATAATTTGCTATGTGTTTGTAATGTGTTTGTTATGTGTTTGTATGATCGAGAGTTATGTGATACTTTTGGATCAATAGAAGGCATGTTTTTCTCTTAATTTTGGATGCAAGATATATGTTTGTGGTTTGGTTTGTCATAAGTCTATCCCGCTACGCTTTCATTCTATCACTATACACTTTCAGCATAACACGCTACACTTACATGATAACACGCTACACTTACAGGATAACCCGCTACACTTGCAGTGTAACCCGCTACACTTGCAGTGTAACCCGCTACACTTGCAGTGTAACCCGCTACACTTGCAGTGTAACCCGCTACACTTGCAGTGTAACCCGCTACACTTACAGACTAACCCGCTACACTTACAGGATAACCCGCTCCACTTACATGATAACACGCTATACTTACATGATAACCCGCTACACTTGCAGTGTAACCCGCTACACTTACAGTGTAACCTACTACACTTACAGACTAACCCGCTACACTTACAGGATAACCCGCTCCACTTACATGATAACACGCTATACTTACATGATAACCCGCTACACTTGCAGTGTAACCCGCTACACTTACAGACTAACCCGCTACACTTACAGGATAACCCGCTCCACTTACATGATAACACGCTATACTTACATGATAACCCGCTACACTTGCAGTGTAACCCGCTACACTTGCAGTGTAACCCGCTACACTTACAGTGTAACCTACTACACTTACAGACTAACCCGCTACACTTACAGGATAACCCGCTCCACTTGCAGTATAAACCGCTACACTTACAGATAACCCGCTACACTTGCAGTGTAACCCGCTACGCTTATAGTGTAACCCGCTACATTTATAGGATAACCCGCTACACTTACAGGATAATCCGCTACACTTGTAATGTAACCCGCTACACTTACACTACAAGATAACCCGCTACACTTACAGTGTAACCCGCTACACTTACAGGATAAACCCGCTACACTTGTAATACAACCCGCTACACTTACAGGCTAACCCGCTACACTTACAGGATAACCCGCTACACTTGCAATGTAACACGCTACACTTACAGTGTAACACGCTACACTTACAGGATAACCCGCTATACTTACAGTTTTACCCGCTATACTTATAGGATAACCCGCTACACTTATAGTGTAACCTGCTACACTTGTAATGTAATACGCTACACTTACAGGATAACCCGCTACACTTACAGTTTTACGCGCTACACTTACAGGATAACCCGTTACACTTACAGTGTAACCCGCTACATTTACAGGATAACCCGCTACACTTACAGTGTAACACGCTACACTTACAGGATAACCCGCTACACTTACAGGATAATCCACTACACTTTCAATCACAAACATAGATATGTTATAAAACATCCTCTACACTTAACACGCTACATTTTCAATCACAAACACAGTCACAAGCTGAAATATGCTACAAACTCACCACTACATTCACAGTCACAATTTGAGATATGTAACAAATTTTAACAATGACCAATTTAAGATACATTCACAGTCACAACTAATTGCACAAATTGAGATATGTTATAAAACATCCTCACATATATGTTACAAAACATCCTCACACGCATTTCAGATACATTCACAGTCACAAACTTAGTCAAAAGCTGAGAAATGTTACAAAACATACTCACACATATTTCAGATACACATATTACAGAACAATTTTAACTTAAATCTAGTTTTCCCTCTTCTTTATTGTTTTTCCTTTTCTAGCTGGCTCATTACTCGTCTCGGAGGCTCAACGGCTTAAACAAGCATCATTAGGAACAATTTTATGTATATAAACAACTCTCAACATGCAAAGAATAATAAAGAATGTAATAGATAGTTGCAAACTTGGGTTAAAGGCTTTGTTTTTGTTTGCTATAATGGCTAATTCCTACAAAGCTTCCTGCTCTCTGATTCTTCAACGCAAAAACCACCAAAGATTCACCATCAAGACTGCCAAAAGAGGTTATTCATCCTCATAGTTTCCAACCCGTTCAACAGCTCACCAATCTTCGAAGGATCAGTAAGCTTCGAAGGGCCAAATTCAACATTGAAATTGCCCAAGGGCCTTAAAATAATAGTAGACGAAATATAAAAGTATAGATGTCACTTGACCGGATACGAGGCTAAACATATATGACATCAAGAACACCCCGCAATCTAGGCTACTGCAAGTACAAAAATAGGAAGTACAACTATAAAAATTTTCATGGAACCGCACTATATAAATGCTATGTATCGACAAATACAGCAAAACAGCATAGGATTAGGTTGAATACACGCACCCACGTTGTTGAGGTACATCAACACTTTCTACCTCATGACAAGAGCTAATATCCATATTACACTCATCGGGGATGGATGTCATAAGCTTCACTCTAAAATCAATGGCATCGGACATATATCCGCGTAGAAAAGAGTAATGATGAAACCTTCTATCTTTTATAGATAACACCAACATATGCCAATGAAATGAAGTTAGAAGTGGGAAAATAATCTTATCAAGTGCGAGGAAACGTGTACTAGTTATTGGCTTAAACATGCGTGCGACACTTGACAGATTATTTTCGTTGATGCATATCTACAAAAAACCAAAGAGAGAATTATTTTTAGTATCGAAGATAATATATGAATAATACTTATAATCTCCAATCGAGAATCCACTTACAGTAACCCATGATGTATATGTCCTTTGCATAATTTGGACGCATCTCCATCAACATATTTAGAAGCACAACAGAGGAGGCTATAACCTGAAATGCACATAATAAAAAAATTGAAGGTTATATGCTACACGTGCATTGTGTGAAACATGAGGGAAAAAAGGGAACTTACGTCGCAACTAGTTGCTTCTCCTTTAAGTAATTCCAATGCATCCTTACGAGTTACCAAAGCATCACTTGATGACCACACTAACATCTCCCTACATATGAAAAAACTTACTAAATGTGTCAATGAAAACACAATAGAAGTCATAAAATAGGTCTTTCGATATTCCTTACATTGTCATCTTTTTGTCCTTCCAAAAGTTATCAAGTAGTTCTCGTTCATCATCTCTTACTTCCATCCTTCCCGGATATTTTGGTACACCTTTTCGATTACAAAACGGGACAAAAGGAGAACGTGTAGATAGTCCGGCGAGCCGAGATCTCGATAGAACCGTTCATTTAATGGAAGGGGTTTTACGCTTGCCTTCAATCACCGTAATATCGCACGGGCTAAGCAGAAAGGCGTCATCATCCACTTCAATTGAATCCATGTCTACATCGTCATTAGCACCATCTCCACCATCATCTTTATCTACATTCATTCTATCTACATCTCCATCATCCTCATCCACATCACCACCATCCCCCTCATCTCCTACTCCATCATCACTTTCACCTTCACCTTCGCCTACATCTCTATCATCCTCCTCATTCCTGCCATCCTCATCGCCGCCATCACTATCATCTTCATCATCCCCGTCATCCTCATCTCCGCTATCACTATCGACATCCTCTTGCCTTCCACCGAATATTTCCCTCTTCATCTTCAAGAGAATGTTTAATTCAACTTTTTTTTCATGGATAAGCCGATCCAAATCAGCTTCAGTGATTACCTACATGTAAACAACCCAAGTACAGTTACATTCATGAATCAAACCAACGAAAGCATATATAATTCACCAACATCGAATAAGTACAGTTACATTCATGAATCAAACCAACGAAAGCATATATAATTCACCAACATCGAATAATAAGTTTCATTTTAGCAAAAAGCACATTAAATTACTATTTGAACCCACATAATAATAGAAAAAATAACATTACATACAAAAAACCATTATACCTTTCCCTTGAATTTTGAAGAAGCAGTTTCTTTAGTGAAAATGGCAGCTTCAGCAATCCTCTTTTGAAATTTTAGAGACCTCGAGCCCTTATGATATTGGCTAAAATTATCCGGGTCTCTAACTAAATTCTACAACGCATTCCTCCGTAAAGGTTTTGGACACTTATAGAAGCTTAGGATGGGTGGTAGGGATTCAGCTCCTACGCGAAGGCTTAACTTTCCCACAAGCTCATAAAACCATATCTGTGAAAAGATGATAATTTTAGTACAACAGTAAATATGACTAAATGAACTAAATATATAAAATGAAAAATGACATAAATATAGAAAATGTGAACTTACCACCAAAACCGATGCAAAGCCCCCCATATAACCACCTCTACATCGATTTCCCTCAGACCTCTTGGTAATGGTCTTTTTAGCATTAACCATCTCAGTCCTTAACACATTAAACACTGCTTCTGTCTAATTATACTCATGAAGAGTGTCCAATTTCTCAGCATATCTAAATGCAAACAAAGGACAACTCATATTAGCTTGAGGACATAATATAAAGCCTATGATGAAAACCACGAGCATCTGTGGCACAAGAGGATCTCTACGCTCAGTCATCTCCTCAATAAGTTCACCCATCCTACCCCTTCTAGCACACACACAATCTTCTTCTTTTCCTCGTTACTTTTCTTCTTTCCTCTCCTAGTCCTACACTTCCTATCCTCCACAATTTCTGCCTTCGACCTAAATGATAGCACGAGCTTGTAGATTGTCTCGCGATCGCTTCTATGGAACCTCGTATCTACAATAGATCCTCCTATCGGAAGACCCGTAATTCTCGCAACATCTTGAACACTAAAAGATGTCCATTTTCCTCCAATTTTGAAGCTATTTTTTTTAACATCAAAGACTTCCAGCAAGCAATCCACTAGAACAGGTTGAATTGGAATATTAGGAACATTCAAATACCCATCGAAAGGTGTATCTCGAAGAGATGTCCGATGATCCTCTAACAATGTAGAAGAAATACGATTTTGGAGGAGGTCCCGGAAGTAACCAATATTTGATGGAATTCTAACCACATCCATGGTGTGTGCTTTTCTGCAACCAAAAAAAAATTAAGCCAACGTTAGTATCATATCAATATTATACTTTTTTGAAAATGGGGAAGAACATGAAAGAGAGTGAGAGAGAAAACTGGTTAAGTGGGGAGAGAGAGGGGTGTTTTGGGGTTTTAACCGTGTGGTGTTTTGGGTTTTAACCGTGTGGGTGTACAAATACATATGTTTTTCCTATTGTATTTTGTAAGTTGGGCTTAAAAACAAATACAAAAAGATAATTAGGTTTATGGATACAACAAATACGTTGTAGTTGTGATGTTTCCTCCCTCGTTGGGGGCTATGGTTTCATTGGGTGTGAATTTACTTGACTGTATGAGTAAGTGAATTTTCAAATTAAAATTGAGGGCACACTATTGCAATCTTATACTTAACTCAGGTTCACAATGCACAGAGACTGATAGCAGTCAGAGCACTCTCATCGAGATCAAGGCGACGACGAGCTCAAAGCGTGGTCACTGCGAGTGAGAGAGAAAACTGGTTAAATGGGGGGGGAGAGAGAGGGGTGTTTTGGGGTTTTAACCGTGCGGTGTTTTGGGGTTTTAGCCGTGTGGGTATACAAATACATATGTTTTTCCTATTGTATTTTGTAAGTTGGGCTTATAAACAAATACAAAAAGATAATTAGGTTTATGGATATAACAAATACATT